GCGCGAATAGCTAAAAAAGCTGATGAAACCAAGCCATAAGTTACAGTATTGAGAGTATATGATTTAATTTCATCGTCGGGATTGAAACGCCATAAATTTTTTTGGAAATTACGTTGACTTTCATTTAAATATACACAGCGGTACATTTTCGCAATATCTGCTCCCAAAACCACATTGTGAATACGAAAACGTAGCAAAATGTTAAATAAAAAATCTTGTATAGTGGGGCCAGTAAGCATTAAGTCATTAACTGAAACTCCAGACGTGGTAGGAGCACTACCGTTGAATACAACTCTTAATTTAGTCGTTGTTGAAGTTTCTTTAAAAACAGAATGATGTGGCAAGAAAAAACCAGAATTATCCTGCGAATCAGCAAGGGACATATGATTCAAATCAATATATTCCTGTATAAAACTATGATACTGTTGTTTTATGTTCGGATTTTTCTCAAGCTTTCGTTCCAAAGATAAAAACTGATTTGTGGCATTAGTTTTTGAATCTCCCAGACAGGAAAGTGATTGTTTAAGTGGCATTGAAACCGTAAAACTGCCATCTGGGTTTTGAAAAGTAGTATCTTTAAAATGTTTTTCACAAAAAAAATCGTCTTCTGAGATGTATTTAGTTATAGGATATTCTTCTAGACTCCAAAATTTTGTCAACTGTCTGTCAATGTCAATAGACGATAAGTACCCGTTGGTTTGATTTTCAAAGTCATTACTCAAGATGGTACCTAAGCAAGTTTGTTGTTTCTGAGGTATTGAAATTGGTCCAGAAATTATCCAACCAAGTTTGGTTTTTTGTAAAATAGGGCAATTTTTGCCAATTTTTATTTGGCCGATGCATAACAAGTCCCAAAATAGATCTGCACCAATAAGCAAATCGATTGTGGTAGACTGGAAAAAGTCATGATCAGCAAGTAAAATATTCTGAGGTATGTTCAAAAATTGTGGGTCAAAACTAAATGATGGTAAGTTTCCTGTTATGCCTGGAAACACTAGGCAGTGAAGTTGGGCTTGAAAATTGTTGAATCGTGACTTTATGTTAACAGAAACACTACACTTAATTTTGTGATTTGACTGACCTATACCAGAAACTGACATGTTTGTTTTTGTTTTTGGAAGTTGTAAAATATCACAAAGTCGTTGACTTATAAAGTTACTTTGACTTCCATTGTCCAGTAAAACTCTACAGTCATGTAGGTTGCCTTGAACATCATATATTTTGACAATGGCAGTCGACAATAAACTTGATTTTTCGTTAGTAGAATTAGTAAATAAACTTGTATGTGTATGGTGTGCTTGTGTATCTTTTTCTGTGACTTGTGAATTATCAGAACTTGTTTCATCTTGTTTTGTTATTGTAGATGCCGCATGGTTTGTAAGATTGGGTGAATGAGGTATGTTTGATGTTGAATTTTGAAAATGCAAAAACGTGTGATGCATGCCAGAACACTTACGACACCTAGGGGATCTACATTCTTTTTTCGCGTGATTATCACCTAAGCAGTTTATACATAGACGCATTCGTCTTGCATTGTTTAATTTCTCAAAGGCGTTTAATTTTAAAAAAGACCCACACGTATAAATTGTGTGGCCTGTAGTATGACACATTGGACATTTTTTGACCTCAGCAACATATGGCCTTTGGTGGAAAATTCTTTTTTGTGGAATGGGGTTTTTTGGTAGGAGGGTTTTTGAGTTGAAAAAATATCTTTTGCATTTGCGTTTAAAGATTGTAAAATTCGACATTTTTCTTTTAAAAAATCAATTAAATCCTTTTGTGTAGAAATGTTAGTAAAATTTCCCCTTGCCTCCCATGCGCGGCGTGTGCTGCTGTCAAATTTGTTTGTAGTTGTCGCAAACCGTCATATGACTCTTTCTGTAAACCTGGCAAGTTAAAAATCGATTTAATGTGAAAATTAATCAAAAGCTGTTTATTTTCGTACCTCTCCTCTAGTAAGGACCAGGCAACGTTATAATTATTGTCAGAACATTGTAGTGACTGTATGACGTCAGCAGCGTCGCCCTTTAATGCTAGGCGCAAATAATGAAATTTTCGTACATTAGATATATTTTTACTGGGTACGATTGAAGTAAAAGTATCACGAAAATTCAGCCATTGGTCTAGTGATCCGTCAAATGTCGGTACATTCAATGAAGGTAAGTTATCCTCCGGGAATTGCACAGTGTTGCCAAGTTGAGTAGCATTGGGATTCATATTATTTACTGGTAAATGCGATTTTGATTGTAGAAACTGTTTAACAGCTGAGATTGTTCGATAATATTGTGTTTCAAAAGCTTGCCGTTCAGGCTCGTAAATTCTGATATATTTACATCAAAATCGTCGTCTAACAGTTCAATAGTTTGCTGTATAACCTCGTATTCATCCAATGCAGGCTCAGCCTTGATTAACCTACTGCGCAACTCCTCTAAGTTTAACGTATTGCTCGTAAGATCCAATGCATTGAAGTACGTTTCAAATCGTGTAAAAGCCTGTTTTAAAATTTTTCTTTTCTTTTTTTCGTGTTTCAATTCATCAGCCATTTTTCAAAATAGACGAGTAGGTATTAAATTTTAGAAAAAATAGTCGTCAAATCCGTAAAACTTCAAATAAACTTGTCAAAAAGATGGAAATTGCTTGTTCTGGTTGTCTAGTAACGTCAAAATTCTAAAAATGGTAAAATACTAACTTTGTTGCTTGTAAAAATAAATAAAATCGTTAAATAAACAGCTTAGTAGCTTGTACAATCGTTTAAAATTGTGAAAGGTGGAATAGTGGCGTGAAGCTTGTAAAAAAATTAGTTAAAAATGCAGATTAAAATTGTCAAAATACCAAATTTCGGCTTTGGGAAGTACCAAAAGGAACACACTACCTTATTTGTTTTTGAATTCCTGTTAAAACCAAAATGCAGGCACTATGGCCACTATGGTGTTTGTTTTGTATAAAAATCCAATCCAATGTTCTTGTCAATCAACAATATTTTAGTTTTGTTCACAAATTGTTCATAATTTCTTGTAAAATGTTCATAAAAATAGTCTAAAATCGTTAAAATGAACAAAGTTAATTAAAAAACGCCTTACGCGGGCTTCTGTTCTGCAAATCCAAGCTCCAAACTCGCATGTTTCAGTGCAGATTATCAAAAAAAAAAACTCAAAAAAAGTATCCAAAGGTTCAAAGGTTGTCCAAAAACTAGTAACATCCGTGCTGTCGAAGGACCAAATGTTGTATATGAGAAGAAAAGATGGTTCGTTTTACAAAGAGAGCGTAGTCAAGACTATGTGGAATGTGACCGCCAAATTACTTCAACAGAAGTATAGCGAATATGGTGTCAACCTCGATCCATTCACAAATATTACATTCAAAGCAGCAAGAGATGCCAGGGATGCCGTACGGCGAGAATTGCAGGGTGATCCCAGCAAAAGAAAAACAAGTTCCTCAGCTTTTACGTCCGAAGAATATTTAAGTATTCTCAAACTTTTTGATGAAAATACTCTCGACGGGCTTCAAAAAAAGTTGTTCCACGTTTTATCATTTGAACTGGCTTTTAGAGGTGGCGAAGCTTCAAATTGCACAACTGATTTTTTTTAAATGGAAAAATTTCACGATGGCACACCTACAAACAGAATTGAATACAATCCATTTTTTTCGAAAACACGCCAAGGTGGTAGCCACCTTCTAACGGACAGTAAATGGCTTATCAGAAACAACGCCGATAAAGCCATATGCCCAATTAGGTAAGTAAAAGTGCTTCAATAGGTAAACTTGTTGATTCAAATATGATTTATTTCCAGGTTGTACAAATTGTTTATTTCCAAAAGAGGAACTAATGTGAAGATCAACAGACTTTTCCTAACACCTAATCCAGAATGGAGACAAAGTGGCACATGGTATAAAAATATGCCAGCTGGCAGGAATGAAATTTCAAAATGGACAAAAACTGCAGCAGAAAAGGCCGGCCTAAATAGCAAAACATTTAAATTTACTAACCATTCACATAGGGCTACAAGCGTAACCCATTTGGCTAAATCTGGAGTTGGCGAAAATCAATTAATAATAATAACTGGCCATGGTAACGTTAATTCGATAAAACCCTATTTACAATTGGATCAGAGCTTTCATGAGGATATTATCCATAAAATGAGAGGAAACCATAACGCCGCCAATAATGAAATTCAAAATTGTAATGCTTCCCCTGTTCTCAGTTCGGCGCAGACGATTTCAACTTCAAATAGTGTAATGTCTGAAAATAATTCTTCGAAGGCAGTATTTAAATTTGAAAACTGTGTTTTTAATTGTCATAATTTCAATAACAATTAATTAATTATTGTATAGAGCACTTGATCGTTTGAAAAATATATTGAAATTCATTTGGCATAAATATAAAGAAAAGGTGAAAAGATACCTGAGAAAAAATTATCAGCAATTAGCACATGTGCAAATTATCGATAATTTTAAAATTATCGCTATTTTTTAGATGCAGCTAAATTATCAGGTAATTGTATTCTGATTGGTCCAAACTGACAATAAAAAACCAGTATTTCATTGTTGAAATGTCAGATTTGACAATAAATGAAATTTTCAATTGAATCAGACGAGACGTACAATTTTTTTTTATAACCCTAATAATAATCTTTTAGTTGCGTAGCAATCGTCTAACAAAGAAAAAACTTACAAACTAGATTCAAAATCAAAAAAAAATGCTGCTCATCATTCAATGTCAATGTCTCTTCTTTGCCGACTGGTGCTAACTGTCTCTATTGAAAAAGTCGAATTGACATTGATGGTTAGGATTTAAAGTTCAATTCATAAGCGGCGCAAACACCCACTCTGCAAAAATAGTGCAGCTGCATTGAAACTTTTAACGAAAAATTTTGTAAAGATTGAAATCTAGACTTTGAAACTAGGAAAAACAATCTCTGAAGTTTAAGCAAACCTTCAAATAAAATTCAAGTTACAAAGAAAAATCAATATTTCAACCATTTTTTTCCTTTTTGTTTTAGAACTGCAAAGCGTACGCAAAAAAAGTGATCCAGTACATTCCTGTTTTGGGATGGGGCTGGAAATTTTCCGAGTTTGTATTCCTGGAAAGGTCCTACGAAAAAGACAAGGAAGTCATCGATCAGCAGATTAGAAAGTTAGCTGATCATCCCGATCCCATGTGGGTAAGAACTGTTTTTATGTTTATTGTTACACTAGATTCATGTACAAAAATAATTGATTTTTTCTCGTAGTTACTTTTATTCCCTGAAGGAACCAGATTCACCCCGAAAAAACACCAAATCTCTTTGGACTTTGCCAACAAAAACAACCTGCCGCAACTCAAACATCATCTTTTACCAAGAACCAAAGGGTTCGTTGCCAGCTTGCCGCCGATGCGCGGCAAAGTACCCGCCATTTACGATACTCTCATCGTATTCAAAGACGACGATCCGGTGGAACCCACCATGACCAATTTGCTTTTCGGCAAGCAAATTACGGCCCATATGTACATCAAGAGGGTACCGTTGGAGGAGGTACCAGACACTGAAGCTGAACAGGAACAATATTTGAGGGAGCTTTTTGTTAGGAAAGTAAGTAAATTATTAATTCACTAAAAAAATAAGTATTAACTAGTTTTTATAATAGGACAAAATGAAAGAGAGCTTCATTCAAACTGGGGACTTTTTCAAAAACTCCGGAGTCACTCCGGTTGAACCATGGCCGGCACATAGAAGGCTTTGGCCCATATTGAATGTGATTTTCTGGATGGTCAGCATTCTAGTGCCGTTGCTGTGCTATCTGGTCAAATTACTTTTTAGTGGCCATTTGACTTACTTCATTATCGGCGCAGGACTTATTTTTGCATGTAAGTAAAATATTACCATGAATAAATTGTGTTATGAATACATTATTTTTCAGTTTATATGCTTCTCCAAAGAACCATCGCAATGTCCGAAACCAAGCACGGTTCTTCTTACGGTGCAAAGGTTGAGGACAAATCGAAAAAATCTAAATAATTTCCATGGATGTGTAGAGTTTATTTTACTAGACTGCCTCTAATGCTATAAAGAACCTAGAATTAGTATAAAAAAAAAAACGTCTCTAGTGCATTTTCAGATTTAAGGTAAGTATACCATTTTTAAATGTTAAAAAAATTATTTATTTTGTTGTTAACTATACTTAACAAAAACAAAGTTCTAGCAATGTTAAATGTTTTTTTCTTTATTTATAATGTATTAGACTAGACTAACATGTACATACATACATATAAATTGTTATGGGCAAGTTTCCCTCTCTTAAAATTTATCAATTTATTAGAATTTTCAATAATTTAAAAGTTAAAAATAATTTTTAACTTTGTACTTAAATATTATGTAGATTGATTTTTATTTGATAAGGGTTATTTTTGTTTCTATCAATTAAGAAATTTAACTTTTATTTATAATAATTGAAATTGGTTTATTTGGAATGGTTAGGGTGGTTTGTATTGAAAAAAAAGACATAATGCTAAACTTAAAAGTGTTACCATGTTTATTTATCAGACCCAATATTTTGTTATTCTTTTTACAATAATTCTAATAAACTTATTGTGTTTTTTTTTTATTAAAAAATTAAAATATATTAAATTAGTATTTTTTTTGCAGCTCCTTTTTTGTTATTTGTACATACAGGAAACATTCACCAATAAATACATTAATTTTTCTCTTTATACATAAACACAAAATAAAATGTCAAACAGACTGATTTCCCATTTGACTGAGTCTCAAAAGGAAATCTAAAAGGTGCATTTGGACTTTAATTTCCAAGGTGTTGGTTGTGTAATAAAAACCAGGAACTCCAGCTTGTTCTAATATTCTTTGTTGTTCAGCTACCTAAAATTATACAGGGTGACTGGTAAGTGGACGTATTCCTTTGAGGAGGTGAAAGTAGAACCCATTTGCTACCGATTAAACATCATTTATCTCTATACCATTCTCAACGGTTTTTGAGATATTTTTTATTTTTATATTTAAGAAATTCACTTTTTTGGGAGGTAAATATTTAAAATTAACAAAATAATAAGGAACATACCTTAATTAGGTAAATGTTAACACCAATATTTGATAACATTTCTATTGTAACACGTGGTATTAAAAACAAATCGAGTAATTTTTTCTTCATATTACAAATAAAACTTATTTATTTAATAATAAAACAAAAGACTAATTCTGAAATAATGTGCCTTATTCTAAAGACAATTATATCGAGAACTTTTATTAATAATTTGTACGTTTGATGTACAATGAAATTTTCGAAATTTTTAAGCATAAAGTAACCATTAGTTTGTAACTTGACAAGGAGAGTTAAGTTTAAACCGAAATAATTTAATAGTAAATATTATTGTTTCAAAATTTTCAATGCTAATATTTGTGTAAGTGTGTCAGCTTATAATTTAAAAAGCGACATTTAAAATGGCTTTTATTATTTTCCTTAATTTTAAATATTTACCGGGCAGAGAAGCGAATATCTTGAAAATTAAAAAAGAATAAATATTTCAAAAACTATTGAGAATGGTATAGAGGTAAATGATGTTTAATAATAATATAATGCTTTATTGTCAAAAAAATTATAACATAATTTGTAGACAAAGCCTTAAAGTTAAAAATACATATTATATACATCTACATGTATACAAAGTCAAAATAAAATGATATAAACATAAACAAATATAACATGAACAAATATAAAAATGAACAAATCACCTATAAACTATGATCCAGTGTGTGGAACGCTCAAAATTAAGTCAGAAAAAAGTCATTTACTTTATATAAGGCTCTCTCTGATAAATAGGATTTTAGAGCTATGCGAAATTTAGGAAGAGATGCTATGGACTTGATGACTACTGGCAGATGATTGTGCATTTTTTTTTGCGTTGTATAGAATGGAGCTCTTAATTAACTCGGAGGATGGAGTTGGCAGATAAAGATCATGCTCCGCGTTTCTAAGTGGATAGTTATGCAATGGCCTTTCTGAAATACTGGGTAGGTGTTTGCGGATAAGGCAGACTGATTCTAGTATGAAAAGGGACGGAAGTGTTAATATTTTATATTTTTTGAAAAAATCTTGGCAATGAGCTCTATTTTTTAATTTTAGGGAATATCTAATAGCTCTCTTTTGTAATTTAAAAATACGGTCAAATTGAGTCGCACAGCACGAGCCCCAGAATGGAAGGGCGTATCGAAGATGTGATTTGAAAAGGGCAAAGTAGACTGTTCTAGAAGTTGACAAGTTGAGTTCCTTGGAAACTGATCTTATCGCAAAGCAAGCGGAACTTAATTTTTTTGATAAAGAATCGATGTGCGAATTCCATTTTAGGGATTTGTCTATAATAAGGCCCAAAAACTTTACGGAATCAACGACGTCAATAGTAGTAGTGTTATTAGGTACAATAGGTTGCATCGTACTTCTATATGATAGAACTTTTGTTTTCGCAGCGTTGAAGCAGAGGAAGTTAGAGTCGCACCATGTTTTAATAGCCAACAAGTCGATGGACATGGTTCTATGAAGAGCTACAATATCCGGGTTGCTCCAAGTGAAACTAGTATCATCAGCAAAAAGACAGATTTTACCGCTGATGTCTAGACTAGCAATATCGTTGATAAACAGCAAAAATAATATTGGACCCAACACGGAACCCTGTGGAACTCCACATTCTATTGGCTTGCATGAAGACATCGTCGTGTCAACCCTCACAAGCTGTTTTCTGTTGTTAAGATACGACTTGAACCATTCCAGAGGAGAGCCTCGAATTCCATAATGCTGCAATTTGTTAATTAGGATATTATGACTTACACAGTCGAATGCTTTAGAAAAATCACAGAAAATTGATGCTGTGGAGTGCAAATTGTTCAAGCTAGAGAAGACATTATTGAAGACAGAGAACATAGCATCAATAGTGCATTTCTTGGTTAAAAATCCAAATTGGTGGATAGTTAGTATATTATATTTATGCAGAAATGATAGAAGCCTTTTCTTAACCAATCTTTCAATGATTTTGGATAAAGTAGGAAGAAGTGCAATTGGACGATAGTTCGACTCTTGGTCCTTATCACCTCCCTTGTGCAGAGGAATAATTATAGCCGTCTTGAGGCAATCTGGGAACACTCCTTGTTGAAAAGATTTATTTATTAAAGCAGTGAGGAGATTTAATGTACACTCCGGTAAATTGAAGAACATTTTTAAAGTTAGTCCATCAGTCCCAGATGACACTTTGTTTTTTATGTCTTTAATTGTGCTGAAAAGCTCTAGTGTTTCTACGGGTGTTAGGAAGAAACTGTGTAAATTCATATTGGTACTGGAAAGATATGAAAGCGGATCGCGAGAAGGAGCTATAGTGGTCATTAAATTTTTTTGTTACATTTACAAAGTAGTTATTCAGGTTCTCAGGGGAAGTAGAGGTTATACTGGAAGAGATAGCCTTATTTCTCAAGTCGTTGACAATAGACCACGTTTCTTTGGCAATATTTTCAGTTCTAGCGAACCGGTTGTTATAATAGGTGTCTTTGGCGGCTTTTATAGTTTTATGATAAATTTTTCTATAGAGTTTAACGTAATTTTGAAAGAAGAGACTGTCTGAAAATTTTTTTAGGTGTGACAATGAGCGCATGTTCTTTGCCGATGTCCGCAAGCCTTTAGTAGTCCAGGGTTTATGTTGCTTATTTTTGATAGGCCTGAGGGGAAATGCTTTGAAAGCCAAACCAGATAATTTATTTGAAAATGTTGAAAATGCATTATTGATGTCATCAGAGAGGCAACCCCAGTCAATTGTTTGACATGAGCGCTTGAAATTCAGGAAATTTTTTTCCGAATAAATTCGGCGAAACTTACGTGGGGCAATCCTGCTATTGCTCTTTAGAGAAAAGTTTGTGAGTACTGCTTCATGATCTGAAAACCCTGAACTTAAGACAGTACAGTCAACAAAGCTTGGATCAAAAGATGACACGACGTAGTCGATAGTGTTAGATCTGGTTTTAGTTATTCGGGTTGGAGATTGAACATGCATGACCATACCAAAAGAGTCAAGTATAGACTGGAGAGAATCTTAAGCAGCACACACACTGGAAAAATCTATGTTAAAGTCGCCACATAAAATTAATTTACTCTTAAGAGGGAAAGACTCAAGCAAGCTTAGTAAGTTTTGAAAAAATGTAACCAAGTCAGCGTCAGGTGTTCTGTAAATACAAACAATGTAGAGGTCGTAGATATTGTTGTAGACTATAGAAAATTCGAATAATTTTTCAGATAATAAATTGTCGAACTTGGTTATCGCCGAAAAGTTGTTATTAGTGGACAATATTACAGTACCTCCATGAGATAGTATACTTCTAGTATACCTAGATACTGTAGTGTAGTTTTTGACAAACACAGGCTCGTCAATATTGAGCCAATGTTCTGTTATGGCAATAATTTCTGGAAAATGTAGGTGTTCTAATAATAAATATAATTCATCGGTTTTGTGCCTAATGGACTGAATATTGATGAGAAATACACTAAGCTTGCTATCGTTAATTGTTTCAGAGGGTGCTTGTTCCTCTATTCGCGTCAAGGTATCTAAAAATTTTTGTTATTTGGAGAACCACCAGAAAAGTACTTAGAATGACTCTCCCTAATTTTTTGAAGCTGTTGGATTTTTTCCGAAGAGAAAAACGATCTGAAGGCAGAAAGATCCGCTTCAACTTCAGCCGAATCGATGCCATAGGCGCTGTGGAAACGATAATACAGCTTGCGTAAGGAATCCACGTCACTCGGTAGGCCCTCTGATGCTAACGCTAATTTAATGCTGGTGTTGGTGTAACCTTCAAAACACACATTGGGGGGCTGGTCGTGGAGATAGGCTAGGTAAAGCCTAAGAGTTTTTAAGATGGAAGGGTCTCTCAATCTAGCCAGTAGATAGCGTCCATTTGCTATATCGGAGTTTCGCGATATTCGCACTATAGGTGGGGTCATCGGGTCAAAGTTGAGCATTGTGTCGTTATTCACATTTGACTCTACAATAATATCAGCGGTACTTAGGTGAATATGAGACTTACATGCAGCAATGGCCTCTCTATCGGATCCAATCTTGATTGATTTATTCTCTGTAGGCTTTTTCTTGGAATTGCAGTCTGGAGAAAGGCTTCGGGTCGCTGCAGTGGTTAGGTCGATTTGTTGAAGACTTGTTGTAGAAATAGTATGTACAGGTGATGTTAAATTTGAGGGTGCTAAAGATGACAAGGCAGTGTTTATTGAACTACCGGGCGGCCACATACTTATGTCCTTCAACTGTTCAAAATGTTTCTTGCTTTTCACGCCAATTTTGAATTCGGAAAGTGAACTGTCATCATTTTTCAGCATGGAAAAACAACGGATAAAGTCTGTTGTTCCAAGTTTTTCCTTAACATAGTGAGCAATTTGGTTTGAAGTGTAAGAGACGGGAATTTTAGACAGAATCAAGTAATGCCAATCTTCTTTTTTAATGGTCTTATAAGTTATGGGTGTTTTAACTTCAACTGGAGTAGCCACTTTCTTGTGATGCGTGTCAGTTTGTGTCGAATTTGACTTATTTGTCCCTAGCTGAGAGGTCTTGATGTTGGGTTTATCTTTAGCAGCTAATTTTTCCATCATAAGTGACATCTGATCAATATTTTTACGCAAATCACCTATTTCCTTTATTAATTCATTTTTTGATGTATCATGTACCTGGATCTTAATAGATTCATCATGATTGTCCATGAAAACAGATGACAAATTAAAAATATCTTGTTTCATTTCTCTTATAGATTTGAATAGAGATTCCTGTCCATTGTCCGAGATTTTGGTTTGATGGCTGTGAATGTCGTCTATTTTTTGGTTCAGTTGCTTCCATACGGAGTCGTGACTACTCAAAATGTCGTAAATTTCTGTAATGACAGGAAGAAGGTCATTGTTTTTTTTAAACAGGCTCCGAGAGCTTCGACATTTTCCATAGAAATCTGGGAGTTATGTAGATGTGTCACTTTATCATGCAGGTATTTCAATGTAGGGGAATCACAAACACTGCAGAAGAATCTAATGTTGTGGTACTTCTGTTGGTAGAGGACTTTTGTAGTTGTTTTGTCCAAGCCAGTGCAGTTCATGCAGAAATACCGGCGACACTCACCACTACAGCGAAGAATCGGTAGCAAATGAGCTCTACTTTCACCTCCTCAAAGGAATACGTCTACTTACCACTCACCCTGTATATATTTTTTTTTCTGTTTTTAAAGTACTCAAGTTTATAATTTATATTTACCTTTTTGTCTAGTTCCAGAACCAGCTTCATATCAAATTCTTTTAATTCTTCCTTTTGTTTTAACATGAACTTTTGAAGAACTTCGATTTTCTTGTCCGAATTGTTTTCGTATTTTTTTAGTGAATCTTGTTCTTCAACTGCAAGTAGGTAAGTATTAAAAAAAATGAACTTCCAAAATAAAATTATTGGGGAAATCTTCAAAAATCGTTTAAAATCTAGTGGAATGCCTCGAAATGTTTTTTAAATTAAATCCCCAATAATCTTTAAACATCTTCTGGAATTTCTAGAATATTTTCATGATAGTCTCTTAAATATCAAAAATTCTACAAATTCCTAGTAGTACAGGGTGGACACCTTTAAACATTAGAAAAAAATAGATGAAAGAATAAGCAGTGCAAAGAAAAATAGAGGGAAAAATGCTTGAAAATCAAAAAAAAAAGAAGCAAAAAAGAAGAATTTATGAAACTTTCAAAATAGGTATTACATTTGATAGATAATTTTGTTGAAAATAACTCACTTTTCTTATTATTTATAAATTGTAATCTCTGTTGAAATAAATGCTGTTCGGTGACATGTTGGATTTCCAATAAGCCTTTGACTATTTCAAAAACAGTTTCGTTGAGGAGACAATTGGCTAAGCTTGATAGCACCTCGTACGGTAATCTCATTTGATATTTTCTGGAAAAGAAAATGACAGTTTTCTCTTTACAATACATAAAACAAATTGTTTCAATCAATAATAATAAAAGTCTTTATTTCTTATACAACACAATAATGTATAGTTCATGTACAAATATCTTTGACAAAGTCATTACCAGTCTTACTAACATTACACCAAGGGGCAAACCACCTAGGAATTCTTTGCCAAAAATGTGGAATTTAGTGGAATTTGTGGGAAATTTAGAGAAATTTGAAGGAACTTATCGGAATTTATGAGAATTTATAGGGAATTTGAAGGAATTTATGGGGAATTTGGAGGAATTTGTAGGGAATTTGGAGGAATTTTTGAGGAATTTAAAGGAAATTATAGTCATAACGTCACTGTTCACATTTTTATCATAAGAAACACTAATAAATGGAAATTTCAAAAAAACTAGTTTTGTGTTGGAAGTTGGAAATTCATTTTTATTAAAGAAATCCTCTCAAAATTACACTACATGATTTACAGGTCCAAATTTAAAAAATTCAAAATAATAAGGAATACAGTTTTTGTAGGCTGATTTTTAAGATTTTTCATGTTGTTATTTTCCACTGAAAAAATTTGAAATTTTGGGAAAATGAGCTTCTCGCCTTCCCCTTTACATGCAAAAAGTTTCAAAATTTTTCCTTTACTAGTTTTCCAGGAAAATTTTGGAATGTGTAAGACTATATTTTCAACTAATTCAGTTTTTGTAGGTTGATTTCCAAGATTTTTCATGTTGCTGTTTTTCACTGGAAAAATTTGCTATTTTGGGAAAATGAGCTTCTCACTTTCCTCTTTACATGCAAAAAGTTTCAAATTTCTCCCTCCACTAGTTTTCCAGAAAAACTTTGAAATATGTGAGACTGTATTTTCAACTAATTTAGTTTGTGAAGGTTGATTTCCAAGATTTTTCATGTTGCTGTTTTTCACTGGAAAAATTTGAAACTTTGGGAAAATCAGTTTCTCACCTTCCTCTTTACATGCAAAAAATTTCAAAATTTTTCCCTTTTTTTAGAGGAATTTGTGGGGTATTTGGAGAAATTTGTGATGGGGTATCTGAAGGAATTTGCAGTAATTTTGAGGAATTAGGCGTAAAAAATTTCCCACTGAGGAATTGTTTGCACCAATTCTGGGATGGTGGTTTACTCCTTGCATTACCCCTATATTTAAAAAAAATTAAAGATATTTCCCAGGAGAATAGAAAGACTTTATGATTGAATTTTCTCTAGATGTTTCCCTAATCAGTCCTAATAAGTTTGTGGCAAATGGCAAAGAAACAATATCATCATTTCCCCCTTCTCGAATATCATCATTGTTTTAAACAGTGGAATAATTTTGTAATAGGTATTTGTATGATTGATGAATTTTGCAATAATAAGCAAATTGTAGTTTGAACATTGTGTTCCAAATTGGAAAATTGCTGTCAAGGAGATCTTCAGGAATTTAGAATTTTTTTCCAGAAAATTGGACATTTTAGGAATTGTAGTTTGGTTGGCATGAAAGCGCTGAACGGATATATCATTTTCTTTTTTTAATTCTCTATAATTTCCAGTTGGAACTGACAGTTTCGTTAGGGTCTAGGGGTCTAGGTTAGGGTTTCATTTTTGCTTTAGGACTTAGGTATAAAAATTGTTACTTACTTAGAACTGACAACTAGGTATTAATGTTACTCAGAACTGGCAAGAACCATAATTGTCTCTTGGAGCTGACAATTAGGTTTATTTGTCACTTAGATCCACAGAACACTCTGACAATTTAGTTACAATTGTCACTTAGAACCAAGGGGCAAACCACCTAGGAATTCTTTGAAAAAATCTGGGGAATTTAGAGGAATTTGTGGGAAAATTAGAGGAATTTGTGGGGAATTTGAAGGAATTCATCCGAATTTATGAGAATTTGGGAAATTTATAGGGAATTTGGAGGAATTTATGGGGAATTTAGGAGAATTTGTGAGGAATTAAGAGAAAATTGTCAAATTTAAAAAATTCAAAAGATTACAGTTTTTGTAGCTTGATTTCCAATATTTTTCATGTTGTTATTTTCAACTGGAAAAATTTGAAATTTTGGGAGAATGAGCTTCTCACCTTCCTCTTTACATGCAAAAAGTTTCAAAATTTTCCCTGCACTAGTTTTCCAGGAAAACTTTGAAATATGTGAAACTGTATTTTCAATGACTTCAGTTATTGTAAGTTGATTTCCAATATTCCTGATGTTGCTGTTTTTCACTGGAGAAATTTTAAATTTCGGGAAAATAAGCTTCTCACCATCTTCTTTACATACAAAAAGTTTCAAAATTTTCCGTTCACTAGTTTTCCAGGAAAACTTTGAAATGTGTGAGACTATTTTCAACTAATTCAGTTTTTGTAGGTTGATTTTCAAGATTTTTCATGTTCCTGTTTTTCACTGGAAAAATTTGAAATTTTGGGAAAATGATGTTCTCACCTTCCTCTTTACATGCAAAAAGTTTCAAAATTTCCCCTTTTCTAGTTTTCCAGGAAAACTTTGAAATATGTGAGACTGTATTTTCAAGTAATTCAGTTCTTGTAGGTTGATTTCTAAGATTTTTCATGTTGCTGTTTTCCACTGGAAAAATTTGAAATTTTGAGAAAATGATGTTCTCACCTTCCTCTTTATATGCAAAAAGTTTCAAAAATTTTCTCTTTTCTAGTTTTCCAGGAAAAGTTTGACATATATGAGACTGTATTTTCAATTAATTCAGTTATTGTAGGTTGATTTCCAAGATTCCTCATGTAATTTTTTACTGGAGAAATTTGAAATTCTGGGAAAATGAGCTTCTAACTTTTCTCTTTACATGCAAAAAAGTTTCAAATTTCTCTCTTCACTAGTTTTCTAAGAAAACTTTGAAATGTGTGAGACTGTATTTTTAACTAATTCAGTTATTGTAAGTTTTGATTTCCAATATTCCTGATGTTGCTGTTTTCCACTGGAAAAATTTGAAATTTTGGGAAAATGATCTTCTCACCTTCCTGTTTACATGCAAAAAGTTTTAAAATTTTCTTTTTTTTAGAGGAATTTGTGGGGTATTTGGAGAACTTCGTGGTAGGGTATTTGGAGGAATTTGCAGGAATTTTGAGGAATTTGCAGGAATTATGAAGAATTTGCAGGAATTTTGAGGAATTATGCGTAAAAAAATCCCCTTTGAGGAATTGTTTGCAACAATTCTGGGATGGTGGTTTACCCCTTGCTTAGAACTGACAATTAGGTATAATTATCACTTAGAACTGACCAATAACCCGAGCAATTACCTCAATGTCAGTTCTAAAGTAACAATTATACCTAATTGTTAAGGGCAGGTGTTATAGAACTATTTTGACAAATAACTAAAAGTTAAATTCTGGAATGAGGTCGTGATTCCAGAAGGTAACTTTTTAAGTTATTTATCGAAATAGTTTTATGATACCCACCCTAAGAATCAGTTAACAGACAATAAATAGAGGATTAAAAAAAGAAAATGAGATGACCATTCAGGTTTGTGATGTGTGATCAAGGGTTCCTGAAAAAAATTAGAAAAGGTTCAACGTCAACAGGAAAAGAAGGAATTGGTAATTTGTATGCAACGAGGGGGCGACCACTTCCCGCAATACGTGTACATTTGGCCTGAAATCACTTGCAATCATCTCCGAAATCATTCTGAAATCCCGCAGTCGGTTGGCAATATCCGAAATCCTTCTTGCAGTCCCGAAATCTTTGTCCGCAATCGCTGAAATCCTATGCAACCACCATTGCAATCTCTGAAATCGCTCAAAATCAGCTCTGGTGGGGATAATAGTACAGTAAATAGGGATATTTTACTAAAAAAAAATACTTAATGGCTGAAATTTTGAGGGTGTGTTCGGGAGCATGTCCTGAGTCTAAAACTGAGTTTTCGTATTCGAGGGGGTGGGGGAAGATACTAACCCCTTTTTATGTAGGGTTGAGTGCGTTTTAATTCCCTATCTTCGGTGCTATTGCCCGTACCGTCAAGTCCGATCAAAAGGACGATTAGGTGAATCACAATGGCCAGTCAAAGGTCACAAGTGGGGGGTAGTTTTTGGTTTTTCATGAATACCGTGAAACCGGTAGGTTTTTTCGCATACTGCTTAGGTACCATTTCGAAGTACTCGAAATTACCTACAAAATGAGTGCTAAAACACTTATCTACTGTGAATAGTTTACCGTCAATTCAACGACCAAGTTGAACGCGCGCGCCGATGTTGTACTTCCCGATAAGCTAGAAAGTTGAAATTTTCAGGGGACTTAGAACTTTTAATTTTGTCGAGCCAAAACAAATTTCATCCCCCCCCTCCCCTAGGAAACCCTGGGGGGATGTCAAAGTTTTGACTTCCGACCCCTGTAGAGCCCAAACGTGTGGGGGGGGAAATGAAATTTTCAGGGGAAGTAGAGAAAAAGTTCCTCTATCGAATGGATGGGGGGACGAATTTTTAAAAAAATTTGGAGGGGGGAAAACATGAAAAATGCAATATCTCGAGAACGGACTCCTTTGCGATCTAAAAATACGAGAAGCCCCTTTTTTTTGGGCCGATTTGGATGAAATTTATAGTGTAGGTAAAAGGGGTCTAAAAAAGGTTTAATTTCAAGTTTCAGCTTTCTACGACATATAGGAAAGGTTTTAGCCCCTATCTCCCAATTTTGAGAAAGGGCGTAGAATGGGGTATACGCGTTTTGCATTAATTTTCACGAATTTTGAAAAATTTAAATTTTCATCGGATAGAGGAGGAAAAAATACGTCGAAAATGTCTCCAGGTGTTTTTTGCTCTGACGCTTCCTAAGCGCGCGCGGTCAACATCGGCGCGCGCGGTCAACTTGGTCGTTGGATTGACGGCAAACTATTCACAGTAGATGAGTGTTTGAGCACTCATTTTGTAGGTAATTTCAAGTACTTCGAAATGGTATCGGAGCAGTATGCGAAAAAACCTACCGGTTTCACGGTATTCACGAAAAACCAAAAACTACCCCCCACTTTTGACCTTTGACCGGCCATTGTGATTCACCTAATCATCCTATGATCTTGATTTTATTATCATTAGATAGATAATTTTATTTCCCACAAATTTGATTTCTCGGACTTGATGGTACGGGCAATAGCACCGAAGATAAGGAATTAAAACGAACTGAACCCTACATAAAGAGGGAGTAGTATCTTCCCCCAACCCCTCGAATACGAAAACTCAGTTTTAGACTCAGGACATGCCCCCGAACACACCCTCAAAATTTCAGCCATTAAGTATTCTTTTTTAGTAAATGCGATTTATTTGTCTCTATTTACTGTACTATAAAAAATCAGCTGTTGATCGGGATTTTGCCCGTTTTTGAGGTACCATCGTCACCAAAAGTATCTGGGACACAAATAATGCATAATAATTGGACTAATTCTACTGTCATTCACTTCAATGCATTCAGTTCACAGTTTGACAAATATTTGACAATAAAATTCATATAATAGGACAAGAGCTAATGTGATGCTGTCCCAGTTACTTTTGGTGACGATGGTACATTGATAATTGACTTCAGGTTTTTGTTGCTCCCATTTTTGAATTCAGCACACAACAGTATTTTTTTTTTTTTTTTTGAAGAATCAAATGCTGGATCTGATGTGGAACAAGTGGAAATGTGATTTCATTATCCAATGAAAAATATTATGCAGCTCTTTATGACATCTGGTATATTGAACGTATATCAGAATCATTGGAAAATGATACTTGAATCAAGTTTTTAAAGTGGCAGCTGGACATGTATGTACAGGGTGGCCCATTTCCGATGTTTTAATGGGCAATATCGAAAACCCAGAGATTTTTTTTAGAGAAAATAACAATGGAGAAGACGAATTAAGGCTAAATTGTTTTTGAAGTAGAATCTAGTGGCATGACCAGTTTTTTTTTTCAAGATGCCACCGACTTTGGAATAATAGGTAACCCTGTTGTTAAGTTGTATTTTTTTGAATGGACACCCCGTATATTATTTTTTCATTGCATAGCTCTTTTCGAGCTGATTTCAATGATATAAGGTTTTATAGCATTATCTCCGAAAGTTTTCGAGAAAAAAAAATCGTTTCTTTGTAAGAAGCAATGAATTAGAAAGAGATAGTTGAAATATGAATCGGCTACAAATGTCTATTCTTAGGGCCGGTTTCTCAATTGCAAGTCACCTCCGGGTTGGTTTTAACTCCAGGGTAAGCGTAAGAAGTTGCAATGTTTACCCTGGAGTTATGCTTAACTGTGGGGTGACTCGCTATTGAGAAACCAGCCCCTTATTCAACAATTCAACAAGTTTTTTTTTTTTTTTTTTCAATTTGAACTATGAATTATTGGGGGTGATAATGATGAATAAGCAACACATAATTTATTTCATGACTTATCTCTTTCTAGCTCATTGTTTCTTATAGAGAAACGGAATTTATTTTTTTCCTCTAAAACTAATGAAGATAAAGATAAAGCTATAAAACCTTATATCATTGAAATCAGCTCAAAAAAAGCTATGCGATGAAAAAATAATATACGGGGTGTCCTATTTAAAAAACACAACTGGTTAATATTCCAAAATCGGAGGCATCTGGAAAAAAATGCCACTGGATTCTACTTATGAACCTGCTTGAAGAAAGTAGGTATTTTTGGTTTTTGGATATCTTGATTAATGAAAAAATTAGAAGCTCTTAAAATTGGACAAACTTTGAAAAGTGCCCTGATGTATTTCGTAAACACATCAAGTTAGCTGTGATTTGTCCTCGCCATTGTTATTTTCTCAAAAAAGAGATCTAGAATGTACTCCCACATTTTTGATATCTCTGCTCTGCTGGTTTTCGATATAGCCTATTAAAACATGGAAAATGGGTCACCCTGTAGATACCTATCTATAAACTTATGAATGAAAAACTGCAATTAAAATAAAAAAATTCAAAAGATACCTAGTTAAAAAATCGAATGAATTATGTTCCGCAATCATATTTATAATCCCCAGAAATCACCTTACAATCCCAAAAATCACCACGCAATCTCAAAAATTAGTTTGCAATCCCCCCTGCAGTCTCTGCAGTCACTGAAATCGCCTCGCAATCCTCCGAAATCGCAAATTTTTAGAAAAATTCTTCGAAATCGCTGCAATCATTTGGAAATCATAGGATTTCCGCAATACATGTACATATTTTTCGGGAGTGGTCGCCCCCTCGGTATGCAATTATTTGATTAATAATTCAGAGAAACGAAAAGTGTCCGAACAAAAGAAGAGAGTTGTATTTATTTTTAATTATTATAAAAATTAAAAGGATCTTACGGAGGTAATTCGCTGGCCATATTCTGCAACTGTTCCAATAAGAAATACAGTTTTTTCTGTAAAACTTGTGCATCGTCCATCATAAATAAATACAATTTGTATGGATTATCGATTGTATCAGTTTTATTGTTACTTGGATTTAAATCTACAACAATCGAATAATCAACAGAAAACAATACTTTAAACTTTTAAAAAAATTTCAAAAATTGAAAATCCAAACAAAAACAAATATGATTGTTGGGGATGCTGTGGTTGTCAGGGTTGTCATGTCATGAACGAGTCTGAATGACATATATTGCAGTGTTGCCAACATATCAACAATGAATTTTACCATGAGAGAAGAATCATCGATAGATGAATATCGATTTGCCTATGTTGTGACAAAAAAATCAGCTGATTGGTTGGAAAATTTAATAATAAATTAAGAGGTCCACAACAATGTCGAACAAAACAAATTCGATTGATGCCCGGCAAGAACTCGCCGATTTGGTGAAAAGAAAAGCGGAAATCGGGGTAAATAAACGTTAAAATTGAAACTGAAACAGTAACACAAAACTTGGGGCACATTATTATTGTAGGACACTTTGGCCAACCTCGAGAGACAAATCTATGCCTTCGAAGGCTCTTATTTGGAAGACACTCAACTGTATGGCAATATAATACGCGGTTGGGACAGGTACATTTCCAGCAATAAAACAACGACGAATACAAGAGAGGATAAGCGTAATAGGAAATTCAAAGAGGCTGAAAGATTGTTCTCTTCAAGTTCTATTACATCTATGGCTGTATGTAGTTTTTAATGTTTTAGAACTTTATGTAACAAAAAACTTGATTTTTTTTTAGGCTGTTAGTGGAATCACAGAACAATCTACTCAAGAAAACAGTAAGAACTATTATGATGTAGATAGCACTCCTTCTCATGCTTGCAGTAGTGGACGTAGTGGCTGAAACTGTGTTTTGCCCATAATATGTATTTACAGTGAAATCTTTTGTATAATCAGACTTCAGATGCCACTCTAGCTTCGAGAAGTTTAAAAGCATATGAATATCTACAAATATTACAAACTACTGTGTCTGTCCATTAAATACAAAATTTAGATTCCACTGTAGATGTTTTATTTGTTTATTTATATATATATTTTTTTCTTTAATCACTAGTTGCTACCGCCAAATTATTCAAACATTGTGCCTTCATTGAAAATACTTGATTGTAAACCAATAAATTTATTTTTTTGCATGATTTTTTTTTCTATTCCAAATTGTTGTATTTTTGCAGCGGACCCAAATTCAGATGAAGACTCGCAGATGGATGATTCCAGCGACACAAATATGCCGTTAAAATCTCCAAAATCAGTTGATTAGAGGCGTATAATTGTTATTAATATAATTAATTTCAATGAATAAAAGAATGTTCGAAACAAATTAAATAAGCCCGCCAAATTAAATAAAATTATGCCATTTCAGTGCAAGGATATTACACACTCGTGACTCACACTAATTGATCCATGACGTCAAGAACTTATAACACACAGTTCGTAAATACCAATCCCAAATGGCGTTTGGTTGGCCGAAAATTACTCCTCAAATGGCAACTTTGATAGTTACTCTACTTGGTCTAAGGGCGGGTATTATAAAACTACTTTGAGAGTTAACTTAAAGTTAATTTTTGAAATTACATGTAATTCAAAAAGTTAACTTTAAGTTAACTGTCAAAGCAGTTTTATAATACTCGCCCTAAGAAGATCGTTTCTTAAATTGGAACTATTTGTGCTCCATGTACTCTACAGAACCGTACGGAGAAATCGGAGCTCCAAACTGTACGCCTGTTTTGTCAAATTGATCAGTCCGCATCGCTTGGAGCAGACGCCATTTGATCATTGATCGCTACAGTAGTGCTACGTCCTGATGAACGCCACCACATAATTACAGATTCGTATGGATATGCGTAATTATCGAGGACGTATCGATAATTGTGCTACATGACAGATTTCATTAGCCCTTTTCACGTGGCTCCGGTTTAACAAACCGCAACATACCACTGAAATTCGAGTGGTATCAAAGATGTCACTTTGTAACCGGGTTAGAAAACGATATGTCATTTCTCTAACCGCTTCGGCGATATGGTTACGCCGAGCGATTAGAAGAAAAAAATATGAACAACGGAAAGCGGAAAAGTGTAAAAACTAAATAAAAAGTTGTGTTTTGTATATAATATCATATTTTATGAATTTGAAGCCCGAGAGCCGTTTTCCCTTGCATACAACGTGATTTTACGTAGCCTGTGCATTAGAAATTGTTCAGTTTGCAGGTGGATTAGGATAAATACCACCTTATCTACAAATCTACCTGCTCATGCACGGACTACGTAAATCACCCTGTATTATATTCAAAAGATGTACCAAAGACAATCCCAGTTTACCTACTTACGACTGTAGGTAGGTAACGAGAACTTGTACTTGTAAACTTTAGATAGGTAAACTGGTTCTAGTAGGTCTATCCACCCATGGTGCACATCTAAAGCATTGAACGAAAAGAAATTAAACTACCTATTTTATTTTCCACTTTTTAGCTTGCTGTAATAAAAGGAATGAAATATTGGATAATTCCACAATTTTGAAAAAAAAAATTGCTCTCCCTATTTCTCTATCACTGGTGCCCGTATGGTGTAAAGATGGTGGGACATTGCTCACGCTCACATTAAAGATATTTTTGTCCATAGTAGACATAAGCCGCTTTCCAGCTGACGCTCTTGAGCACGCAATCGAGCTTTTGCACGCGCAAATGCTTCAAGCGCGTGTTCGTGTTCCAGCCTAATTGCGCTTCGAGAGCTGCTAACTTTTGCGTTTCAAACACAGAACACTGTGCTGCAACGTGCTTGAAGCACACAGCTAGAAAGCGGCTATATTAGGTGTACAGTGACTCTATTACCCACAGTGGCGACAATTGCTGTCTTATTTTTGATTGGCTGTAAAATCTCATATATTTATATTGAAAACGCCGCCATCTTGTTCCCACCTATTGCCTATTTCAAATATGAATATATAGGATTTAGGTGAACATCCATCATAAAACATGGAAAACAACGTATTTGATGAACCTCATAATAGTCGTCAAATACGGCGATTTCAATTTTTTATGATGGATGTCCATTTAAATCCTAAAGAATTAATATTTAAAAGTAACAAGAGGTTGGGAACAAGATGGCGGCGGGACCTGTATTGTCGCCAGTGTATGTAAAGGTTTATTTAGCCACTGTAATTGTAATTAGGTGGGTTCGGATTGCTCACTCCGTACACTCCGAGTGACTCCATTCGCACTCCAGCCGTTCGGGTTAAGGTTCTAACCGTTCGTTTTCAAGTGGCATTTTCAGTGATGTCATCACTTGACATACCGCCCCTAACCGTTTTGTTGAGGTGTTTTCTCGCGGGGCGAATGGTTCGAACAACGGTTTAAACCAATTTGTAGATGACGTCATCATTTGTGAACGCGAAAAAATGGAAGATTTGAATCACAGTCCTATGTCAACGAACCTTGCGTTCGGTATTTTGCTCAGAGAGTAGAGCGTGCTGAGCGGAGCCGTAATCACGTGACCAGCGAGCGAACAGAGCAGTTGAGCGATAAAAGAACCAGAAATTTTAATAAACGAACGCGAATGAGGCTGCACCGAGTACACTTTTTAAATAAACGAACGATAAAGTTAAGCTCGGAGAACACAGACCAAAATAACGAACGCACGGGAAGAACAAGCCATGAGTCCGGTTCGAACTTTTTTGAACCAGTTTCAATGTGACGTCACTAGTTCAACGCACCTGTAATAAAATAGGTAGTTTAATTTCTTTTCGTTCAATGCTTTAGATGTGCACCATGGGTGGATAGACCTACTAGAACCAGTTTACCTATCTAAAGTTTACAAGTACAAGTTCTCGTTACCTACCTACAGTCGTAAGTAGGTAAACTGGGATTGTCTTTGGTACATCTTTTGAATATAATACAGGGTGATTTACGTAGTCCGTGCATTAAACCGGATCGAATCAGTTCCATCGCGAAAAAACAGCTTAGATGTGTGAATATCTCGTTCGGTAATAATTACCTTTGTTCCAACACTTCCAACCCAATAGGAAACCGTACTAATATCGACAGGATTCTGCGCAAAACCTAATTTTTTTGCGCAGAACCGAAATTCGTACACAGAGTGGTTCTAAAACCGTTCTGGGACGGTTTTTTGACGGGTTGGAAAAAACTTAAAATCTGTTTTTTTTTAAAGATAATTCCCCAAGTCAAAAATTTAGTAACTATGTTGGCAACACAAGCCTTTTCTACATGAAAAATTTGAAAGCATTGACAATTTTACATTGTATTGCCAACCTAATGTCAGTTTGACTTTTATCTTTAAAAAAAAAACGCACTTTAATAATAATACTAATGGCGGGTATTAAAAAACTACTTTGACAGTTAACTTAAAGGTAACTCCTTCCTCCTCATGTAATTCCAGAAGTTAACTTTGAGTTAACTGTCAAAAGTAGTTTTATGATAACCGTCCTAAGGGTGCGTATTATAAAACTATTTTGACAGTTAACTTAAAAGTTAAGTTTTGGAATGATGTTACTTCCCATAGTACCTAATTTCACAAGTTAACTTTTTGCTATCTGTCAAAATAGTTTTATAATACCCGCCCTAAGAGCGGTTTATTCACCTTCCGATAAACTGTCGGCTATGCAATCTGACGGATAAAAACACAATCTGTAATCAGTGGCGGCGCCGGAATAAACCTTTGAACGGAAATCGAATAAAATAAAATGATGAATCCATCCAAAGTAAAAAAAGCAACAATAGTTATTTGTTTTACTAGGCAGAAAAGTACAAGATTTAATGCCGCGGCTGGTGTTTCATAGCCGAGGCTAGGAAACCACCCGAGGCATTAAATCTGCTTTTCTGCCATGTAAAACATATAATTTTTTCTCTGAATGCTCAAATTCACACATGGACATGCTTTTTTATATTTATTTCATTCATTATTATTATCCAAATAATTAAATTATTTTGACAATTATTGTCATTGTCACCATCAATTTCAAATACCAAATTGAGTGAAATTATTACCTGGGATGTTGTGACACTGTCACTTTTAATGCCTAGGCAGTAAAAGTCCACTTTTACTGCCTAGGCAGTAAAAATACAACTTTTGATCCTGTCAAGTGTCATTAAAAGGACGCTTTTTTAAAAAATATCATTTATTTGATAGAAACACATGAAATCAAAACTTAATTTTCTCCATTGACCATTCTCTATTAAAATAAAACAAAAATCTAAGACCTTACTCTTTACCTTAAATCGTAAAATTACCGCCCAAGCGAAAAACGGAGGGTTTATAAAAATTCCCAAAGTGTCGCCTTTTTAGCCTAGTACTCGTAACAGCAAAATTCGCTCGTCGAATCAATGTCAAAAAAGTGCGAATTTCGCGATTATGGGTACTAGGCTTAATTCTTAAATTATAGCGTATTTCATTGCAAGTGCAACACTCGTTTTGCTCTGATAGTTTAAAAAAACTGTACGCGAGCAGTCCCAATGAAACATCATCGTACTGCACCATCCTATATACGTCAAACCTCAAATATGAAATTTCATTGAAAAATGATGTTGGTGCATTGCTTTCCCAATGAAATACAGAAGTGCAGCGCGGACTCTACCAATGGATCACGAATATTGCACCAGTATTGCACTTGCTCTACTAATGAAATACGCTATTAGTATTACCTTCATCCAAGGATAATACACACTAATACTACAGGCACAGATCACCTAATACAGATGCGTAAGTACTTATACTTGCCGTCGACGATATTCTGTGACGAAGCCGGGGAGCCAGCGCCCTGACGCATAGATACAGATCGCCCGCGTCAGGACAATTGACATCGCCGGGTGCGTGAGCATGTTCTAGCCTGTGTGTTTACATATTTTTGCGGATAAAAAAGAATATTTTTTTGCTGTTTGTGAACCAATTAAAGAAATAATATTATATTATTGAGCTTCCGCATTTATATAATAAATATATTCAAAATACATTGATGCGGCCAGCCTATGTCTATCAAATTAATCTTGAACCATGAATTCGCCGCTCTTTCGCATCTGTATGTAGGTAATCTGTGCTACAGGATAGCCTATCCTGATAAGGCCTGTGTAGAACAAATTATGAATGAAGCCCCCCACCACGCCAATTCACCAGTTGTGAGTGTTCGGTGTGATGAGTAGCATGTCGTTTCTCGCTTTGACGTAAGCTGTTTGGCACCACAGGTTATGAGTCTGCGGGCTTTTGCTTTATGTATACTTGGTTTTATTACATTCTAAAACAACAATTTAAATTCTAAGCTAGAACCGCTGGCGCAAAAAGCTGACGACTTCGTTGATGACGTAGACAATGATGATACACCAATATGGTTGCGATAACCAAAAACAAGGCCGATAAACAATCCTTAGTAGTGTATTATCCTTGACCTTTAGCTTTACCAATACCACAGAAAAATACCTACTGCCTACTGCTCAAATGTTTCTCCTTCTGGGTTTTATTAATGGCAAATTGTTCAACTAAGAGCCAAATTATGGACTGACTGGTAAGCGTCTGGTTGTTACCTAGCAGGTACTTTCTATGCACTAGAGAATAGAAAGTACCTGCTGGGTAACAAGCAGACACTTACCAGTTGGTCCATAATTTGGCCCTAAAGAGCCAATTAGAAGCTGCTGATCATTCGAAATTTTGATTATTATCGGCTCTTGAGCTTTGAATGCCCTTGGAAAAATTCTCTAGTGAATCCAGGTTGGTTGAAGTTCAAATTTTGACTATTACCGGCTCTTGATTGGCTCCAGGAAAATTTTTCACAGAATCAAGAGCCAGTTATAGTTCAAATTTTGATTATCTGGCTCTTAATCCATTGGAGAATTTTTCTAGAGCCAAATAAAAGCTGCGGAAGAAGAAATTTGGATTAATATCAACTTGAGAGCTGCTAATGATCATTCGAAATTTTGATTATTAACGGCTCTTGAGCTTTGAATGCCCTTAGAAAAATTCTCTAGCAAATTCAGATTTGATAAAAGTTTAAATTTTGACTTCTACCGACTCTTGATAAGCCCTAGGAAAGTGTTCCAAAGAATCCAAGAGCCGGTAATAGTTCAAATGTTGATTATCTGTGGCTCTTAATTCAAATTTTGACTATTAGCGGCTCTTGATTGGCTCCAGAAAAATTTTCCAGAGAATTAACGGCAGTTATAGTTCAAATTTTGATTATCTGTGGCTCTTGATCCATTGGAGAACTTTTCTACAGCCAAATAAAAGCTACGGAAGAAGAAATTTTGATTAATATCAACTTGAGAGCTGCTAATGATCATTCAAAATTTTGATTATTATCGGCTCTTGAGCTTTGAATGCCCTTAGAAAAATTCTCTAGCAAATCGAGATTTGATAAATGTTCAAATTTTGACTACTGCCGACTCTTGATAAGCCCTAGGAAAGTGTTCCAAAGAATCAAGAGCCGGTAATAGTTCAAATTTTGATTATCTGTGGCTCTTGATTCATTGGATAATGTTTCTTGAGCCAATTAGAAGCTGCAGAAGAAGTAATTTTGATTCATATCACCATAAAAGCGGCTAATGATCATTGGAAATTTTAAATATTATCAGCCCTTGAGCTTTGAATGCCTTTAGAAAAATTCTCTAGTGAATCCAGAGTTGATAAAAGTTAAAATTTTGACTAGTACCGACTCTTGATAGGCTCTAGGAAGGTTTTTATTAAAGAATCAGTAGCCGGTAATAGTTCAAATTTTGATGATCTGTGGCTCTTGGTTCATTGAATAATTTTTCTTCAGCCAATTAGAAACTGCGGAAGAAAAAATTTTGATAAATATCAACTTAAGACCTGTCAATGATCATTCAAAATATTGATTATTATCGACTCTTGAGCTTTGAATGCCCTCAGAAAAATTCTCTGGCGAAATCAAAGTTGATAAAAGTTCAAATTTAGACTATTACCAGCTCTTGATTGGCTCCAGGAAAGATTTCCAGAGAATTAAGAGCCGGTAATAGTTCAAATTTTGATTATCTGTGGCTCTTTTATCCATTGCATAATTTGTCTGGTGCAACTAAATACCGAATATCCATATTAGATGATGTGCTAAGTCTGATAGAGAATATGGAAAAATGCAGTTTATGCTGACTTATGGAATTTCTCAAGTAATTTTACATGACCTTTCAGCGGTGGCAACTGGAAGGAATCTACCAATTAAGTATATCAATCGATATCGGTCATTAGTCATTATCATTATACTTCTAAGTTGTATTTCAAAACATTTAAAAAAAATAAAAAATAGTTGTACCTACTTAAAGGCGGGCCCCTCTAAGCATCGCTTATATCCGCTTATGCATATCGCTGGCACTGAGGAGGATATTCATGTTTTTACTATTCCAGATTCTTGAATTTTTTTTATTAAGAGAAATTTAAAAGAAAATGAAAATTCAAGTTCCAGGAATAGACAAAAATTGAAACAGAAAAAAAAAGAAATAAATAAAGAAGAAAATGGCAGATGATAAGTGGGCCTGGGCATTTATGTTTTTTGCTGTTTGAAGCTCTTGAATTTACTTTATTTTGATAATCTCAAGGGACCAGAATAAACAAAAGTTAAGAAAAGGAGAGAAAAAAGAAAATGTTTTTTCTATTTCAGGCTTGAATGAATTTTCTTCATTTCAGTAAACTCAAAAGCCGTGAATAGAAAAAAAATGATCTGGACAAATTGAGAAAAACTTGATAGACAACTACAAATTATATTAATATGTAATAACTTTTACAAAAATAAAAAAATAAAATTTCTTTCTTAAATAAATAGGCTTAAAGTAGGTGATAATTTTATTATTCTCCCATTTTTTCTGCTTTACTCTCAGCCTGACTTAGAACACTTTTGAAAGCATCAACACGAGCCTTATGCATATTATAAATCTTCATATGTTGCTCAAACAAGGCATCTTCTACTGTTTTATGCTCAGCCTCGAGTTTACTTTCAGCATTTTTCAACTCAATAATTTGATTTGCCCCTTCTTTAATAACCTTAGCATGTTGCTTCTTTGACTTTGCCTCTGCTGCAAGTTTTTTTTTCATATCTTTCTGATGAGTTTTCTCAGCGAGGCCAACATCTTTCTCCAACAGTTGTACTTGCGATTCCAAAGCCGTTTTCATTTCGGCTATTTCAGTTTCGGAATTTTCTTGAATCGCCTGACTGTACTCGACATCTTTGGTTAAATTTTGTAGTTCTTCTCTTTGTTTGGAAAGTTCAAATATATTGTTTTCGAGTTGTAAATGTTCGATTTCGTTGACGCAAGTTTGTAGTAATTTGGCATGTTTTTTTTGTTCCAAGGGATCCATTGCTTGCTCATCTACTTGTAGGTCTTCGTCATCTTTTTCAAGAGATTGGCGAATAGCTTGGAGATTTTTAATTTCGTCTTCCGATACAATTTTACTTTTAAGGGTGGCTTCAGTTTTCTCAAGCTTCTCGATTTCTTCTTGCATATTTTTAGTATAATTTTCCAAGCGTTCATATTCCAATACTAAATCCTTGCACTTTGCCTCAGATAACTGGATCAGACTTAAAGTCTCTTTGTATTTGGGAAGTTGACCAGCTGTAATTTCTTGTTCTTTTTTGAGTTCGCTGTTGGCAAGTGTCAGAGCAATTTGAACTTGTATTTTGTCCTCTTTGATTTTATTTATAGAGTCTTCTAAATTTTGACGACTTTGTGCAACATCGAAAGCCTCGTTGAAAGTCTGGACCATTTTATCCATCTTACTCTCTGACAAAATCAAAAAATGCATAGTGATCAACATGTGTTGATAAAGTCTTGCAGGATCGAACACGTACAAGTCGCCCAATTTGAAATTTGCGGCAGCAAGTGAAGGAATTTTACGTAGCTTCAAATATAATATTTCCTCTTTGCAGTCTTCGTTCAGAGGATTCGGAAGACGCCTGGTTCGGGTAGCGAAGGTAATCTTGGCCTCCAAATCGTCGATGCAATCCTTGTAGAACTTGAGCACAAAACTGCTGGTGGGATTACGAATGTCGGCTAAAGTTATTGGATAATCTGGCCAGTATTGTTTGACGAGTTCGATTGTTCCCACCATTTTGCTTTCGAGTAGGCCGCCGCCTTTCGGGCCCCCTTTTTTCAATTTTTGTTTTGAATTCATTATAAAACTACAACTTACAGTTTTAGTACACAAATTACACTATGCAAAGGAGTTTGTATTTTTAAATTTAAAATTTAAATTTCAAATAGAACGTTATAAAAATTTTCAACAGCTGAGAACTGAGAAAGAGGCTTTTGGCACTTATTTGGCATATGACTTGACAATAATGACAGTTCTGATAAACAGGGTTGCCACTAGTTGAAAATAAACCGTTCCGGTTTTCAATGGTGCGTACGATAAGTCCGAACAACTGACACTTTTTACCCTGACCCGTCATTAATGTCGCACTTTTTACACCATTCGTACCGTCAGTGTTCCATTTTCCGATGTACTTTAGATGGTTGCGTTCCAGAACATAACTACACCGCACTAACGCTAAACGGTTCAGACAAATCGTACGACAAGACGGTTGGAACAGAGGCCAAGTTCGTTTTTGTCATCTTTTTCGTCGATTTGCTCCGAAATTTTGACAGACACGTGACTGGATCAGACAGTTTCAATTTACAAATCACGTGCCTGTCAAAATTTCGGAGCAAATCGATGAAAAAGATGACAAAAACGAACTCGGCCAGAGCTTTTATTAGCTGCTTACGAACTAGTACTTTTCTTACCTAAGTTAGGGTGGGTATTATAAAACTACTTTGAGAGTTAACTCAATCAAAGTGCTGGAATTACATGTAATTTCAGAAGTTAGCTTTAAGTTAACTCTCAAAATAGTTTTATAATACCCGCCCTTAGGGTGGGTATTATAAAACTACTTTGAGAGTTAACTTAAAGTTAACTTCTGGAATTACATGTAATTCAAAAAGTTAACTTCAAGTTAACTGTCAAAGCAGTTTTATAATACCCGCCCTAAGGGCGGGCATTATAAAACTACTTTGAGAGTTAACTTAAAGTTAACTTCTGAAAATACATCATGTAATTCAAAAAGTTAACTGTCAGAGCAGTTTTATAATACCCGCTCTAAATCGAACAAAAAAAAAAGTGTAATTTTTGTGAACTTGAGGCATTTTCTCGCGGGGCGAATGGTTCGAACTACGGTGTAAACCAGGGCTGTCTAATTTCAAGAGCCCCAAGAGCCGCTTTAATAGTTATTTATGTATCAAGGGTACTAAGTAGATGATTATGCCCTGAGGGCGACAGTCTTACAAAGCCGAGGGCCTCTGGCCCGAGGGTTTGTAAGTCGCCCGAGGGTATATATATCTATTAGTACCCGTGGTGCATACAAAGTTTTATGTCATACCAGTTGGTTGTGAATAATAAGCCTGTTCGCACAGCAATCACAAACCAGTCAGAGCGATTTTCATTGGTTGAAAACAATCAGAAACAGTCAGAAAACTAGTTTCAACCAAAGAGATTTAGTCTGACTGGTTTGTGATTTCTCTGCGAACAGACATAATAAATACCTGGGAAAAAAGTGTCACTTCGCAAATTGTCATCAGTGTACAAAAATCATAATTTTTTGACAAAAAAAATAAATTTTTATTTTGTTAATAAAGAATAAGTTAATTGAAGACTGTTTTTTGCGTCTTTATGCCCGCGCGGGCCATAATGTGTACTTTATGCCCGCACGGGCATAAAGTAATGAATTATGTAGATGGTATCTAAGGTATAAAAACACAATAATGTATTGGTATGACATAAACAAAATTACGGTTTATAGGGCCACATTATAAAATACTTCAAATGCAACTTCATTTTAGGGATGTCAATAACCGGTGGTTAAAACCGAAAAACCGGTGTTTACTCTTGGGTTAACCGGTTAAAACCAGTTGTTTTTTGCTTCCAGTTATAACGGGATAACCGGGATTTATACCTAATAACCGGTGAAAGTGAAATAAGTAGACTTTTCTCTCGTCTTATTGAATAAATTGTAAAATATTGAATAAACGACAACAATCGAATATTTCATCAGTCTTCAACCGATAGTAGTGCCCATCTCTAGTATTTCATCCCAATTTCGGTTAGTTCGTTCAGCAGCTGGTTGTTTTTCATCTTTCCCTAATGAACGGAATTATTGGCCGTTTTCACCAACTATTTTAGGGGAGCCCTAACGATAAGTATTTCCTAAACTGACATTTCTCCATGTAAAAATGTCATTTTAGGGAATACTTATCGTTAAGGCTCCCCTAAAATAGTTGGTGGAAACGGCCATAAAAAAGACATATACATGTTGGTTGAGGTACATGTCAACGGCTACATGTTTAAAATGACAGAAGAGAAATAACCAGTTTAGAAAAGTGTAGGTATTTCTTCAGCCATGTTCGTTTTTGTCATCTTTTTCGTCGATTTGCTCCGAAATTTTGATAGGCACGTGACTAGATCAGACAGTTTCAATTTACAAATCACGTGCCTGTTAAAATTTCGGAGCAAATTAACGAAAAAGATGACAAAAACAAACACGGCTTTTGATGCTTTTTCTTTTCTTCACATATAACAGTTCCCGATTTTTTTACAATGAAGATGATGTTGTTCAACTTTATATTACATTATAGTATAAATTATGCAATAGACCTATCTATTTTACCAGACAAAGAGGTAATAATACGAAAACTTCATTAAATAAAAAAAGACACAGAACGCTCATTGCGCAAGACGAGGCAAAACGTACCAAATTATGTTAGACTTACGTATAGCAATCCGTCCTTCTTATTTGCACAGGATAAAAAGGAAAGGAGAAAAACCGCGTGTTGTGCAACGTATTTGTCAATGAAAATGTCACACAACTTTTGAATGACACTTGTCAAGTTTAATATCAACTTTAGATTTATTCTTGTCAGACCACGTGCAATGAACAAGGATAAAGAGATGCCCAGCGTGCAAAACAATCACCTCACACCTGTATTAGCTAGCCAATAAAAAGACATTGCCTCGTGCTGCGCGCGCATACCAGGTAAAAATAGATAGGTCTATTATTCTGATGAAATTCGGGAAAATAACTGATCAACCAGTTAATCGAAATAACCGGTGTTTTATATCAGTTATAACCGGGCAGTTAAAACTGTTTTAAATTAACCGGTTAATGGAAAAACCAGTGTTTTAAAAACACTTGACATCCCTACTTCATTTGTGAGTTTTAATAGGCATGATGATATACAAAGAAAAAACGCGTTCTTTTATACGTACGTGCCGCGTGGATTCCCGACTATTAGCTTTGATTTGGTTCGGAACGGTTCTGGGATTGCGCAAAACTGCTTGCGCACAAAAATAATAGAGGACTGTTCTACTACTAGTTCTGAACCGATTCGGAACCAAAGAACCCAAAACACGCCGCAAATCATAAAATTCTGAAACAGTTCCTTCTTCAGAGCAAGAACTGAGAGAACCGTTCTAGAACAATCCCAGAATTGTTCTTAACTAGTTCTAGATAAACCAAAACACTGTCAAGACAGTTCGATTACGATTCTGAAAAAACGAAAACGCGTTGTATATTTCGCGCATGTGCAGAATGATTCCGAACTAGCTCTGAGTGAAACCAAAACAAAGCTATAGTCTGTTTTTTTTTTAAAGATAATTCCCCAAGTCAAAAATTTAGTAACTATGTTGGCAACACAAGCCTTTTCTACATAAAAAATTTGTGAACATTGAAAATTTTCCATTGTATTGCCAACATAATGTCACTTTGACTTTTATCTTTAAAAAAAAACACACTTTATTTGTCGAGCAAGATCGGTCCGAATTCCAGTAACTTTGCTGCGACTTTCTATCCTTCGCCAGTCGCGTCACATGTTTTTTTATTTGCGTTTTATCGTGAATGTAAGCATTATGCATATTTCATATTTGAGAGTAATTTATAAATTTGGCGGCCTGCTCCGCGGGCCGCAAAAAGTGCTGCCAGGGGCCGCATGCGGCCGGGCCTCTTGTTAGACAGCACTGTCGTAAACCAATTTACAGATGACGTCATCACTTATGAACGCGAAAAAATTGTAGGTTTTTTGGCTGTAGTTTTTGGTAATCGCCGCCATATTGGTTTTCAACTGTTTTCAACCATTGCCGACGTCATAGCTGAAGCCAGGGACACATCTATCATGCATTCTTCCGATCCGACTCCGATCATACAATCGAGGTCCTTATTCTTGGAACAGGAGAGCAGCGGAACACTGGTTCTCCTGAGAACGCTGCTCCCTGTTCCAAGAATAAGGACCCTGATTGTATGAATTGAGTCGGATCGGAAGAATGTATGATAGATGTGTCCCGGGTTTTTATTAGGCCGGGACACATCTATCATGCATTCGTCCGATCCGACTCCGATCATACAATCAGGGTCCTTATTCTTGGGACAGGGAAGCAGCGTTCCCAGGAAAACGAGTGTTCCATCTTTCTCAATTATATGCAACTGATAATATGAGTAACGAAGATGGAACACTCGTTCTCCTGAAAATGCATGATAGATGTATCGCGGCCTTAAGTCGTCAACTTAAACAGCTTACGTGAAGGTGAGAAACGCCATGCTGTTTACGTCACAACTGGTTGTTTGAAGGGGGGGTAGGGGGGGATTTGTTACACACAGGCCTTATGAGGATAAGCCATCGTGTAGTGGTAGTGTGTATCATCCTTGGGTTTGAACCACAGTCTTAACCCTAGTACTCATAACTGCAAAATTCGCTCTTTTTTGACATTGCTTCGACAATTTGCCGTTTGATTCACGAATAAAGCCTAGTACTCATAACTGTGAAATTCGCATTTTTTTGACATTGCTTCGACAATTTGACGTTTGATACACGCATAAAACGTCAAATTGTCAACGCAATGTCAAAAAAATGCGAATTTCGCAGTTATGAGTACTAGGCTTAAAACGTCAAATTGTCGAAGCAATGTCAAAAAAGAGCGAATTTCGCTGTTATGAGTACTAGGCTTTATGTCAACAGAGAACAAGCCATGAGTCCGGTTCGAACCAGGTTTAATGTGACGTCACTGGTTCAACGCAAGAAAGTACAGGTTCGAACCTAATTGAATCGGATCGAACCAGTTCCACCGCGAGAAAACAGCTTAATGGCGTTTCCGATTGGTAGATTTAGTGCGGAACTAGTGCAATTTTTTCTATTTCTGTCTTTTTCTTCTACAGGACGATTAAAAGGATGCAAATACACTCAGTGCGCACTGAATCTACCAATCGGAAACGCCATAAGATTAGTTGTATTACTTTCACACCTAGGAGGAGCTCCGGAACAGCTCCGGGGCTTCACGCCCCTATTCCTTTCGAAAAGTGTTTGTTGCACCACGCATCTGTTCCCTGCAAATCGGGGGCGACTGAACACCGCAGCGAGTAGCTCGAGTGTTTCAAACTCCTGAAAGGAATACAACTATTATTGGTATTTGAGTAACCCAAAAGCAGTAGAAAGATTATACTGCAAACGTCTCACTTCACTTGAAGTAAAATCAAAACAATATGTCTTTAGAGTGAAAAGTGCGACTCAGAGCAAAAAAAAAAAAGTCAAAAATGATCAGATTACAAAAATAAAATTCTTTCCATCGTAATGGAAATAACTGTCAAATGATAATCGGTTTTATTCGTTACTAAAATAGAATTCTATTTAGAGTAATCAAGACAATATTGGAGCAGTCTGGATTTTTTGAAATGCACCAGTACGGAATTTATTTTGTGTTCAGAGTGTACACAACACTGTTATGTTAAGATTAATTGATTGCCCTAAATTCACTTTAAAAACAAGACAAAGAGTGAATTGATTTAATTAATCGGAACAGTATTTTCGAAAACCCCTACAAAACCATATGACAATTATTCAACGTTGCCAATATAAAAATACTAAAAATCCAAGGTTGTCACTTCTTGCCACATTGAATATTTGTTTACAAATAGATGATGTGTCAAAAAAAAAGTGTGATTTATTTTTCAAAATATTTCAAAACCCTTCTAAAATAATTAAGAATCAAGAATGGAAACGCCGGAAAGTAAAAAACTCAACTTCGAAGCCCTATCGAAAGAGGAGCTGATAAAAAAGTGCAAATCCCTAATAACTTTGGCCCAAAAAGCGAAAACTGCCAAAGAAAATCTACAGCAGGAGAACACCCAATTGAAAAAGCAGTCAAACACCGCCAACAATGAGATTTTGGAAAAACTTACTGAAGAAAAATTGGATTTGGTCACTCAAATTGACTCGTTAAAGTCCAAAAATAAAAACCACCAAGAAAAAATTAATCAACTTGAAACCGAAAATACTTCATTCATAAGGCAAGTAAAAAGACTCACAGACGAAAACGAGCAGCTTATTTCCGACCTTTCTACACTCGAAGCCCAAATCACAGAACTTCACAATCTTGGCCTGCAGCAAAAAAGCCAGTTGTTGGAGTTGGAAAAATCACATTCGGATTTACAACTTAGATTATCAGGTAGCTTGAATGAAGTTGAAAAAGTTAATAATGAATTAAAACTTAAGGATAAAGAGATATTGGAGTTATCACAAGAATTACAAGCTTTAAAGATAGTTAAGAAAAGCAATATTAATAATATTTGTGATAGTAGCAAAGAAATTGATGATTTAAAAATTGTTAATGATAGACTTAAAGATAAGGTTTTGTTGTATCATTCTAAGCTAAAAAAATTTGCTTTAGTTATTAGGGAAATTAAAAATGAAAGAAATGACGTTATTAAGTTGTTTAAAGATTGTAATTTGCAAATGAAGGAGCAATTGCTTAAAGCTAGCAAGGATTTGCTTCAATTGGCTGATAAGCTTAAAGAGAAAAATCTGGCTGATGAAGAGAAGAAATATGCACAACAACAGAAAGAATTGGAATCGTTGAATGAAGAAATTAGAATGAAGCAAGAATTAATTGAAGAGCTTCAAGAAGCTATAAGGATTAATGAAGAGAAGCTTAATGAAGCTTATCAGAAAATGGCAGCAAATAATAATCAAGAAAATGACTTGAAAATGATTAAAGAACAACAAAATGAGGAGTTGAAACTAGTGAATGAAAAACATGATGTAGAAATTCACGAGCTGAAAGATGAATTTGAAAAGTCTATGGCTGAAATTGTCAGAAAACAACAAGAAGATGAACTACAGACTAAAGAAGAACTTGCCAGAAAAGAAAATGAGAATGAGGAACTTAGAAGCAAAATAACCAAGCTGGAAGAAGAACTATTTCAGTCTGAAGAAATATTAAAAAATAATGTTGAAAAACTTCAAGAAAGTTTTGAGAAAAAACTCAATGGAGCTCAACAAGAACTTGAAATGTACAAAAAAGAAGCAGAAGATGGAAGAAAACAACAAGAAAATGAGGATTTTGAAGCCAAAATTACTGAACTCTCAGAAGAACTAAAATCGAAACAAGAACTGCTAAAAATTACTGAAAATAACTTTAAAATACTCCAAGAAACTTCTGATAAAAACTTGAAAGAGGCTACAGAAGAACTTGAAAAGTATAAAGAAGATAATGCCAGAAAAGACAGTGAAAATAAGGAACTTAGAGCCGAAATTACCAAGCTAAAACTTTTTGAAGAAACCTTGAAAAACACTGAAAACAATTTGAAAAAGCTCCAAGAAAATTGTAAAGAAAAAATCAATGAACTTGAAACATACAAAAAAGAAGCTGAAGATGCAAGAAAACAACAAGAAGAAAGTGAAAATGAATTCAAAGCCAAAATTCATGAAATTGCTGAATTAAATGGAGAAGTCGGATGGCTGAATGAAGAAATAAAACTGAAACAAAAACTCCTTGACGAAGCATTAGAAAATGCGAAAATACTAAAAGAAACATATGAAGAGAAACTCAATAATGCTGAAACAATGAGAAAACAACTTGAAACAAGCGAGAATGAAAATACAAAACTTAAAAAAGCCTTGAAAGAGTATGAAGTAAAACTAGAAAAAGCCCAAAAGTCTTCAGAAGAAACCAACAAACTGAACGAAGCATCCAAACAATCTGAGCAAAAACTAACAGAAAAATCCAGCGAAGAAATCATCAGACTAGTCCAAACAAATAACGACTTACAAGAAAAATACTCCAAACTTCAAGAAAACATCAATAAAAAGTCCGAAAACAATTCTACGCAAACAGACGAAATAGAAGATACACAAGAAGACAATGGAATTGACTTGAAACGTGAAAACTCTGAAATGCTCCTAGAAATGAACCAAATGAATCAAGCCCTCAAAGAAAGAGGCGAAACAATATCAAAACTAGAAGCACACTGTGAAGAAATCAAGAAAAAACTTCAACTTTACGAAACACAAGCAAATAAAAATGTCGATTGTATAAGTGAAAAAGACAAAACAATAAAAGCCTTGTCTACAGAGCTTGATTCATTACGCAATCCAGAAATAGCCGAATTGAAAGCTGAAATAGAACAACTAAAAGAAAAACTAAACTACAATGACAATTATGCTGAAAGTGAAGCAATGTCAACATCAACAATATCGAAAACTGAAGAAGCAAATCGGCTAAAAGATTTAGAAGGCTCTTGGGAGGAAAGATATGGAAAATTGAGAACCCTTGCAGTAAAACTTAAAGCAAAAATAAAAGAACAAGTAAATAGTATAAATGAACTTGAAAAAGAACGCGAAGAATTGTTTAAAAAACATCAAACATCTACTAAAACCATACAAAGCCTTCAAGCTCAACTAGACAATTTACAAGACGATTTAGATAAAACAAGTAAAGATAATAAACAATACATAACAAAACTAAACTCAGTAGCTGAAAGTATATCAAAAGACAAACAACTATTAGTAGGAAACGAAGAAACAATTTCAAAACTAAATAAGGAAATTGACAAATTAAACAAAGAAAAACAATCTACAGAAACTTGGAAAAAACAAGTAGGAGCCAAAGTGCAAACCTTAAGAAAAGAACTAGAAGCTAAAAACCTACTAATAAAAGACTTTGAAAGTCAAATAACCAAACTAGAAACCGAAATTTCCAACAAAGACACTCAACTAAAACAAGAACAAGAAAACCACAAACAAACTAAAACCCTATTAGAACAAACAAATGGAGAAATAAAAAAGAATTCAGTATTAAATCTAGAAATGCAAGACTACGAAAAAAGCGTAAAAGAATTATCGCAAAAAATTGAAAAACAAAAAACCGAAATCACCAGCTTACAAACCCAAGTAGACATGCAAAAAAATACAGTCAATGCTTTGCGAGAGCAAAACAAAACTTTAGAAGACCGCCTAGAAGAAGTACAAAAAAGCGATAGCAGTAGCAACATGGAAGTAACCACTTGCAAAAAAACCATCAAAAACCTAGAAGAAGTTCTACAACAAAAAGAAGACAAATTAATAAGCACCAACAAACTCTTAGAAACAGCCAGATCTGAAAACGAAGAACTCTCCACAGAGTTGAGCAAAGTGATAGCAGAACACCAAAAATCTTTGAACACAATCAAAAACGAAAGAGATCAATTAAGAAACCAATTATTAAGCGTACAGCAAAATCTGAGAGACACACAAAACACTTTGAAACTGAGAGAAGATGAATTAAAGGGAATCAAGGAAGAATATGAAACTTACAAAGTAAGAGCTCAAAGTGTTTTGAAGAAAAATCAAGGCAGGGATCTTGGGTTGGAAGAGAAATTGTCCGAAGAAGTTTCTACAATGAGGACGCAAAATGATAAATTGAATGAAGAATTAAAGGAGATCAGAGACAAACTTCAACAAGGTGAAATTGCAAAAGAAAACTTGATAAAAGAAAGAGATAATCTGCACAAAAAGTCAAAAGATTTGGAAAATGAAGTTGAAGAATTAAAGAGTTATGGAGAGCAGCTTGGATTGAAGCATCAAAAAGCGCTCAGTGAACATGCTGAGACTATCAGAAATTTGAAGGTATGTATAGCTTTCAAATAACATAATATCTTGATATTGATTGTATTTTTTTAAAGATTCATGCTGAAACTTTGGCTCAATGCTACCGCCAACAACTAACAGAACAAGAAACGAGACACAACCGAGAAATAATCGAACTACAAAGTCAAATAGAAAAAGCCCCATCTCCAATAGAACATACAATTCATCCGAACATGCCCAGAGAAGAAGGTGAAGGCTCTGAAAGCGTTGAAAGTAATCCACCGCCCAATGTGCATCCAATACCTTTAGAGCGATTACTAGGTAAGTTTGCAATTATTCATCAACCATTATCAATTATTGATTGATTTTGGTTTAGATTCCAAGTCTGATGACGAAGTTCATCACCTGAAAAAACAAATCTCGGAGCAGGAATCGAAATTGGTGCACTTAACGGCGCTACTTTCGGACACTGAACAGGACCTGGCCAAGCATGTTCAGATGAACAAGGTGCTTAAAGAGGAAATTAGACGGCAGCAAAGGTCGGTGGAGAGGGAACAGCACGCTGAGAATTTGGAGTATTTGAAGAATGTTGTTTTCAAGGTGAGAACTAGAATTGTGTCCAAATTTATTTCATTCATGAAAAGTCTACTACCAGTTTAAATTTTCTTGTCCAGCTTGTTAGGTGACATGGAAATGTCTGATGAATACTTATATCTATTTTGTCTAAGATTTTTTGAATTTTGCTATTGCAGGCCAGCTCCAAATCTAATCTACTTGTCTGGAACAAATTCGCTATAAAAAAACACTTATAGAACTAGAAACAGATATAATTATTGTCAAATATCTACAATATTACCAGAGTTTTCTATTTTATTTGTTACTGATGGTATTTATTTCACATTTTTCTGTATTCTTTTTAATTTTGACCATCAATATCAGCCTGATTTTCTAGCCGGTTGGTCAGTATTCTTTCCTCATCAAGATTTATGAAAGCTGCTCCACTTTGCTTATTTTTCTCGTCATTTGTTTAGTCTTTTCCTCTTCATTTACTGCAAAATGAGATTTTATTTTTTGGATTTTCATCAAAAGATGTTGGTGCTAACCTAGTCATTTCCATTGAGTTCATATAGAACGCCATTTATGACAAATGAAGTCAACTATAGAAACTGCATTGGCTAGCTTTGGGTGCGTTTATATCAGAACACAATTTTCCCAGAGGAGGGTTGAAGCAACAGTTGGAATTTTGTCATAGAAATTTCCCAACATCATCTTCATCCCGTAGGATTTTTTCACTTGTCTATTTTCTTTCATATTCTCATTATCCTTGTTAAAATTAATTTATTTTTAGTTTTCTACTTTACCTGTCTCCAAATTTTTCCAGATTTTTCCTTTTTCTATATTTTTCTTCTCGACTTTTGATGTTAGGTAAGCTACTCAAATCTCATAATAACTATGTTTTTCTTCATAATTATTTATTGAAGTTGTCAACAATTTTCTTCTTCATCTCTCAAGATTTTTTTGTTGTTACTTTCTCAAGATATTTCTTTTTCTTTATAAATTTATCTTTTTTCTCATCAGCATTTATTGAAATTGCTTCAGAATCCTTTTGTCTCTTCACCTGCATGTCTTTTTTCTTTCATTGAGATTCATTAAAGTTACTTCTTCGTAGTTTCATCTTCATTTTTGGAAATTGGTTCAAAGTTCAGAGAAAAACAAATTTTGCCGAATGTGCCGGAACAGCGCTATAAAATAAAATCGGTCGTGGAAATTCCTGAATCATCGGAAAAACTAGCGAAGTTTTTAAAAATTTTCTTAGTGTAAACGGTGTAACAAACCATAAGCTACAATATAAGATAATTATTTTTGGGGAAAATGGTTTTTATCGAGGTTTTTATCCTTCAGAAAAAGGGTTTCAACTACCGGTAATCTGATAATGTCGGGAAAGTGTTTCAAATGCAATGAACCTTGTATTTTTAAGGAGAGTAAGTCGAAACTATCCGGTTTTTTATGAGATTTCTGTTGACACGTCTTCTGCAAGGCCTGTATGAAAATATCAACGACCGAACTAAGAGCAATAGTGCTCATCTCGAGAGTGTTACCGTTCCTATGCAAAGATTGCATGGTACACTGCAAACAACTTACAAAGGAAATACCAGACAGAAAAAAAACAAGTAGAAGACGACCAAAAAAGTATCAGCAAGCTAAACTTGATTCCAGAGCAAATGCAAAAAGTAAAAGAAAAACTTAAAACAATAACAAAAATGATGCACGAAAATAAAAGCTACATAGAAGATATAACTGGCCTGGACTGGGACTCTGTAACGAATAGAGAAATTTTCTCTATCTTTATTGACGTCCTCTCTCTATTGATTTCAAGAAGAGAGAAGAAGACAGCAAGTGCCATAGCGATAGGGATAACGATATCTATCCGTTACAGAGTTCCAGCCCTGAAAGCAAACAAGTACTCGAATTTGGCACTTATCAGGCTCATAATTTTATTTCTGCGGCTGTACTGGTGTACAGGGTTTCCAAAAAATCTGATGTCAGATTTTTGTTTAGAATGGTCTAAAACCCAAATATACTAATTTTTGTTTCAATATGATACAGGATACAGGGTGATCACAACAAATTTTTTCAAAATTTAATGGACCAAACCGGAAAAATGTCATATTCTGAGGCCTCGAGAACAACAAAACTTGATACAACATAGTTTCGGAACATCCTTAAGCAAAACTTGTCTCAGAATATATTTTTGCGGTTTGTTTCATGTGAAAATTTGTTGTCATCACTCTGTATCATATTGAAACAAAAATTAGTGCATTTGGGTTTTAGACCATTCTAAACAAGAATCTGCTATCAGATTTTTTCTAAAAAAAATCCCTAATGGCACTTATTGAAATTTGAGCCTATAAATGTGAACACCCTGTACACCAGTACAGCTGCAGGAATAAAATTATGAGCCTAAGAAGTGCCAAATTCGAATAGATATAAGACAAAAAAAAAAATTGAATCGGTTAAAAAATAAAAATTTTTGCATGGTGGTCAGTTCTTAAGCGGGACACGCTGTAGATATCTCTGGAATTTCCGAAATATCAAAACACGACGCCACTGAGCTCAGTAATACGCAACTTTTTCCAAATTCAACCAACCCTGTATCTCTTATGGTTACGGAGATCTATCGGTTCCTTATCCAGGACACCCTGTATATTGGGTAGGAAGAAACGAAACCACAAAACAATGGCCTTTAAAGGTAATACTATCCAGTAAAGAGGAAGGTATTCATATCCTAAAGAAGAAAAGTGCTCTTGATCAACTCAACAAGGGTACCTATATACATGAAAACAGACCAGACAACTACTCAGAGGTTATTCATTAAACAAATAATTGCAGAGCTGAAAAACAGAGGGAGCGAAGGGAAAAACAAGTTAAAAATTAAATACATAAAAGGAACTCCAAGAGTTATCCAAGCAAGAACGGAAAATGGAAAAAACTCTTCCAATAGTAACAACACCCTCCAAGGTAACCAAAAAAACTAGAACACAGTGAGGATATTGAGGTCACCTTCTGGCTTCTGGTACACAAATGCAACCTCAGTGGTAAACAAGCTAGATGAATTAAAGTTAAACATTGCAAAACAAAAACCAACCTTTGTTTTCATAACTGAGACCTGGCTCAAAGATGCCATTGATAGCAGTATCATAAACATCAAGGGGTATACTTTATTTCACAACGACAGAAAAGGGCGCAAGGGTGGAGGTGTCTGAATGATGGTCAAGGAAGAAATCGACGACCAGCCCATCCATTCAACAGCAACAGAAAAATATACTACTGAAGGCAATGTCGAATCAATTTTGGTGAATGTACAGATCAACAAAATAACCTAACTCTTAAGTTGTATACAGGGTGTATCAGGTATGAGTACAAATATTTCAACATGAGATAATATGGCCCATTTCAAGCTGAAACTGTCCTATTAACCATGGGTCAATTGTTAGTATTTTTGGAGTTATCGCAGAATTTAAATTAAGAAAAATGTTAACAACGTGACAACATTGTACAGGTATTATCTCTGCCAGGATATAAATGTTTTTTTTGCAGGGAGTTTATTTATTTTCATCTGTTTATGTTTTGGTTTGTTATTGGCTTTCAAATAATGTGAATAATAACTTGCATTTTTATCACTTTTTTAGTAAAAATAAAAATGTGCCGTTTTATTAAGTTGTGAATTGCACTTAATGACATTTTTGCACTGAACATTCAAGAGAAAAATCAAATAATACTTACTCAGCTACTTGTCAAATCCTTATTATGAAAATATTAATTGTTGTTGAAAGGTTCTCAAAATACTAAAATCAACACGCAGATTTTGCACACTCACAACTCACACTTCCTGTATCACGCAATCTTTGTAAAACGGGCACAATGTTCTTTCATCAGGTGGGTGCTTTTCTTTTAGGAAATCTTTCCCTAGTTTCCTTGTAAATTCTAGCAGTTAAATGAGCATTTTGCAACGTTTCTGCCTAAACAAGTATCTGCATATTCGATGTTTCGAAACATTTTATTTTCAAAAAAAAAATGAATTTAAATCAATTTATTCAGCTCCACCAAGATTCAACCTTCAACCACCTATTTTTTATTGTGCTGTGTTGCCAGATGTTTAGATACCCTTTTACAAGTGAAATTTGTAAGTTGTTTTTTCAATTTTTTGTTATAGTTGTTGACATGCATTAATTACTTAATAATTTTTTTTTTTTTGAAGTTGAAGTACTATATTACGTATTTGAAATGTTACAAAAAAAGAAAAAAAAAACTTATTACAATAGAGTAATCCTCTAGGTTAGTACATGTTTAGAGTGCACAATGAATTCTCAAGGAATTTGTTTGTGCACTAAATAAATAAATAAACAAATATAAAAACTATTCACTACTTAGAACATTAAATAAACAATAGAATAACATTACGATAACAATAAAATACATTAATTGTGATATACACAAATAGCAAAAATAATCCTTATTAGGTACTTAATACACAACAGTATCGAAGCCTATGCCCGAAACCAATGAATATTTGAGACGATGACTGCGTAATTCCGAACTATCCAAACCTTTAGTTCCTCCTTAATTTTATTATATGATAGAGTTCTATAGTTAATGGGTAGTAAATTGATTATTTTAGGAAGAGTATATGTGAGTAGCTGCGAAATTTGTTTTTGGAAGAGCCATGGAATTATTTGCAATTGATCGAGTTTCTTTTTCGTGATTTACATAAGGTAAAATAATTTTATTTTTGTAGTATTTCTTGATAATATCTTCAATATACAACTGTCTTATGTTCAGCAAACCTGCATCCTTGAAGAGCATTTCAGAACTGTATAACCTTTTTTTAAATAGCATTACTTTAAGTATATACTTTTGAGACACAAACAAAGAGGCCAAAACATTGCTACATGCAGCACCCCAGGAGGCGATGCCATAATTTAAGATGGGCTGCACAAGAACTTGATAAATTTGTCTTATTGTTTTTTGTGAGACAATTTGTCTTAATTCATAAAATTTGTAGACCATTCTCAGAAGTGCCTTAACAATGTGATCCACAT